AAAAAAAAATAGATCAATAGAAATTATCCTATCTGAACAACAGAGAGAGAAAAAATTTAAAAATAAAGTCTCAGGGACCCGAGGGACCATTATAGAAGGTCTAACCATTGGGACCTTCGGAGACCTAGAAGGAGAGGAGACAGAATACAATACAGAAGAAATATTTAAAGAAAATAATGGCTGAAAATTTCTCAGATTATAAACCTATAGATTCAAAAAGCTCAGCAAAATCTAAAGAAGATAAACCCAAAGAAGTTCATTCCCAAACATACAAACTACAGAAACTAAAGGCAAAACAATAAAAAAAATCTTGAAAGCAGATAGAGGGAAACAACACGTTACTCATAGAGGAGTAAGAATTTGAATGATTGTGATCTATAAAGACCAGAAAGAAGTAGAATAACATTCTTAAAGTATGGAGAAAAAAGAATTTTCATCCCAGAATTCCATATCCGGTGAATATTTCACCTTCATTTCTGAAGGATATAAATATATTCTCAGTGAAAAGAAACAAAGAGAATTCATAGTGTACAGATCATCTCAAAAGGAATTGCAAACTGAAGTTCTTCACTCAGGAAAGAAATGATACCAGATGAAAACTTGGAACATTAAGCATAAAGGAAAAGCATTACAAATGATAAATATCTGAGTAAATATAACTCCTCTTGATTCTTTAAAATGTAAAGATACTTCAAAAAGTTCATGGAAAGATTCGTGTTATCTTTTAATTCTATTTTTCCATGAACTTTTTGAAGTACCCTGCATGTTTTATAGTTGAAAGCAAAAATGACGACATTGTCTGATGTGGTTTTCAGTGTATGTAGATGTAATATGACAACCATAACTTAAAGAAGAGAGAATAGAGGGACCTGTATGAGCTGGTAAGGTGTCTACATTCTACCTGAAATGGTAAAATATCGTTTCTGAGTGGATGATAAAAATTAAGTATCTATATTGTCATCTCTTGAGCAACCCCTAAAAAAACTATACAAAGAGATGTAGTCAAAAACACAATAAATTAACATAATAAATAAGAAAGGAAACAGAAGAACAAAAAACAGAGGGAACAATTGGAAAACCAATAATAAAACAATAAATCTAAATCTAAATATAACAATAATCACATTAAAGATAAATGGTCTCAACACACCAATTAAAAGAGCGTGGTCTTTTTTTGTGTGGTTTTTTTTTTTTTTTGCACAGAGATCAAACCCTGGACATTGGTGTTATTGGCACCATGCTCTAACTAATGGAGCTAACCCGCCAGCCTCAAAAGAACATGGGTTTTGAAGTTGGGCAGGCCTTGTGTGAATCCTGTCTTTTCCATTTACTAATCTATATGGGCTTGTACAAGAAACCTTACTTCTCTGAGTCTCAGTTACCTCATCTGTAAAATAGGGTACTACTCAGAGGACTGCTGCAAAGATGAAATAAGATAACATATATAAGGAGCTCAGCACATCCAGGTGTTAAAAGAATAGGGGAGGACTGTCTGTTTAGCTCACTTCAGTTGAAGCCTGGTGCAGATAACACCAAGGTCAGGGGATCAGATCCTCTTACCAGCCAGCCATCAAAAAAAAAAGGGAAGATACATATTTGCTCATATATGCAGAGTATCTTTGGAGAACACATAAGAAACTGGTGTCATTAGTTGTCTGTGGGAAGACAACAGGTCCCCACTCTCTTGTCTAAAATTCTATAATTAAAAGAGCTCTAAAAGCCAAATGTTTGTTTCATAAGCTTAGCGCCAAAACTTTTGGTGGCAAAATCTAAGTGGCATGAAGCTCCTTATATATTCACTTATCCCACTTAAGTGTAAATATGCACTCATTTTGCCGAAATATTAGGGTATTGGTTACAGAGTGCTTTTGGGGAGTGTTACACAAAATATGTTGGTGTACTCAGGTGATCTTTTTAAAATAGGAAAAATTCTGAATTCCAAAACACATCTAGCCTAAGATTATGCACCTGTGTATCCTTTTTAATTCATGAATTTTGAAACTGATGAATGCATTCCATATTCAGAAAATTAAATTTTAAAAAATCAGTCTTTTAAAAATTAAATTAAAAAAACAAAAAACCCCCTAAATTTAGCATAGCATCTGACATAAAGCAAGCTCTCAGTAAATAGCAGTGCCTGCTGTTACTCTGTTCTTTCAGGTCTTTCCTGTCAACAAATCTGTTCATATCCAATACTATGTTTCACCATCATGGCAGACCCTGTGAGTGTCACTACTTACTTAGATTTTATGTGTTAGTGTGGTGCAGAGGTTTTGTGACAGGACCCTACCAAGCAGCTAGAAAATCCCAAACCCAAAGTTTAGATCATATCTTCCAATCCCCAATCGTGAAGTCTTTCTAGCTCACCAGGCCACTTCAGCCATTAGGAGTGCATCCATTGAATTTGCATGCCCAAAGGAGGCATGTTGTTTTTGTGTAAGAGAAAAAGGGAGCACACAAGGAAATCATGTGTGTTCAAGATCACCCTCCATTCCCTTCGAGGGGCCTCTAACAGCCTAGTGGGCCAGCCATGCTGTTTAAGAAAAACAGGGTTAGAGTGGGTCACTTTTTCCCCCAGTTGATTACCAGATGAAGTAATAGGGACTTGAGTTCAGAGGCCATGTACAAAAATGACTTTTTTAGATCCCTAGAGCCTTATTCAGCACATCCAGGACTGAAAGTTGGCCAGGGGGGCTGTGGGGTGGAAGACAGACCCATGAGCTATTTATTTTAAATGGCTTCTAAGTGTGGACATAATAAGTTCACAGAAGTGTGCATGTGTTGCAGTGAGACTGTTGAGCGTGAGCCTACTGAATATGTGACAATTTTGACTGCACAAATTTTGGGGGTGGGCTTGCAGCTGCCTTTCCAGCCTTCTTTGTTCTCTATTTCTTCTCCCCTCTCCATACTCTATGGTCCAGAGGGAAAAACAGATGGCTACATATTTCAGGAGCAACAAGGCTCTTTACTCGCAGGCATTTTAACAGGCCCTACCTAGAAGCCCCTACAGAGCAGCAAACATTTCCTGCTCTTTAGGGGGCACTTCATGATGATAGGTAAGATGCTTGCTGCCCTCTTGCACCACCTGGTCTATCTCCAGTAAGGAAGGGTGTTGGAGGCCACCAGAAGCTTTGGCTACTGTCTCTGTGAACCATGGCTTGGAAATAATAACCTAGGTCAGGAAAAAATTCTTCCCTTGGAAATCTGACCCTGTCCACCTAAATTGCAATATCTTTTCCAGTCCGTAAAGATTCACATCTCCCTTTGTATACACTCTCTCTGTTTACTCATCTGTGAATTTTGTGTTTCTGTTCTCACAGATTAACAAAGAGCCTAACAGCAATGAAATGAACTTTAATAGCTAGCATTTCCATAGTGCTTATTCTATGTGGGGGCCTTTATATTTATTAAGTCTTAGTCCTCACAAAAATCCTGTGAAGCCGATTTTTGTCAATCTTCCTTTTTTTTTTTAAAGATGACCGGTAAGGGGATCTCAACCCTTGGTTTGGTGTTGTCAGCACCACGCTCAGCCAGTGAGCAAACCGGCCATCCCTATATAGGATCCGAACCCGTGGCCTTGGTGTTATCACCACCGCACTCTACCGAGTGAGCCACGGGCCGGCCCTACTTCTGGATTTTTTCCCAGTTGTCTAATTAATGGCTTCTTAGCTGTAAGCTTAGATCAGCTGCTGTTTATAAGGCTTTCCTGAGGTCTGGCAGGAACCCGCCCGTGCCCCAGAACTGCCAGGCTTGTATTGCTTGCCAGGGTTCCAAACAGATTCCAAAGTATACTTTTTAGAATACTAAATCTTTCTTGTTTTATTATATCCATATCCATATCCTTTATAGAAAAGACAGGAAAGTATAAAGAAGAAACTCACCACTGAGGAGTAACTGTCACTGTTTACACTTTCAGTATGCTTCCTTCTAGTTTTATTTATACATATACACCCCACACACAAACACATATATTTTTCACAGTCAATTTCCATAGGCTACTGATAATCTCATTTCCCCTCACACTTAACACTTTAGCCTGAGCATTTTTACACATCATTTTAGAAACATCTAAGAACACTTTCTATGGCTGAATTTAGGGATATATCATGATGTACCTAACTGGTTCTCATTTAGGCTAATTCCAGTTTTCCTGATTAAAGTGTTTGTGGATATATTTTAATTTGAATTCTGTATTCTTTCTTTAAGGTGGATACCTAGACATAAAATTACTGGATCAAAGAATATGAAGATATATAAAACTCTTGAAAGATAGATTGTATTTTGTGTGTATATAAGAGAAAGAATATAGAATTGTTCTCCACGAAGCATGCACCCATTTATGCTCCTTCTAGCTCATCCTTTCTCCATGAAGGCAAAAATTGGTTCTTGGGGATGGAGGGTGAGGGGGTAGAGAATCTTACAGATTACAGCAGTTTGTGGCCCTCCAGCAGGCTACAGTGCGTAAACAGATACACACTATGTAACTATGGTACTGACATTGCATGTAGGGGTCATAATGAGAAAAGGTGGAGAAGCAGTGTTCTAGCTGCACGTGACTCCATGTATCTATCTCACTCTACCTTGGAAGCTTTTAAATCTTAGTTTTTGGATCTGAGGGGTTTTTTTAGAATAATATTTTTCTGATATAAAAAGATCTTGGTTTTTTATGCAAAGTTTAGGAACTTGAGAAAGGTACGGATAAAGTAAAATTTATCTGGAGTTTACCACCGTTAATATTTTTATCTTTATACGGAATTGGGATCTTCCATGTTTTTAGCTTTGCGTTCAGCCCTTTTTATGTAATTGCCATTGTGGTATGTGTTAATTTGTCCCAAGGAACACTCAAATATCCCCCATGTTATGGTCTGATGCAGGGCTTTCCCCTGTCCCCTATGCCTGGGAGTGCATTTGTGACCCCACTGGCAGCAGGTTTGGGCCCCTGGGAGCCCAGGCGCCTGACTGCTCTGGGACTTATGGTAATTGTCCCTTGTTTGTTTCAGGCGTGATCCCCTGGGCCCGTTTGCTGTCGGGGGAGAAGACTTAGACCCCTTTGGGTGAGTACTGCTGGGGAGGTGGCAGCAACATAACCTGCTCTTGTGGCTTTTCAGCCCCAGCTCATCTTCTGATTTTAGAGCTTTTTGTCAATGTCTTCCTTTGGAATGAAGGAGGCAGTAGTTGCTGAGAGGCTGAGAATTCATCGCCACTTATTCTGCTCTGCCATACCCAGAGCAGTGCAGGAGATCTCTGAGTGTTGGGGAGGAGCTGAACAAGCCCAGCAGGCAGATTCTCTGTTGTTTCCTGGTCCCCCCACCACCCTGGAGGAGGACAGCAGCCTTCCCTTGGATGGAAGGATCCCATAAGGATTTATCAGGTGCAGATTGAAGAGCATACGGTGGGCCACAGACCTTAGGGCAGCTCAGGGCTATTGAGAGTTTACTTCACTTGATAAAGTAAGTCTGTGAGCCCCATTAGACTTTCTGTGGTTCTTGTCATGCACCCAGCAAAGTTATTACAGCCTTACCTATGCACTGTCTTCTCTGAAGGATTCAGATTAGATTTTAACCTCTGCTGCAAAGTGACCTCAACTTTAGCATCTCATTTTTAGACAGTGGGGAAATCACACAAGTCTGCAATACAGTTTGAACAGTGACCTCAAAATTTGGGGAAGATCAGCTCATTCATTCTAGTCTGAGCACAAGGTCAGATCTGTGGAACTCGGTGAGGGACAGCTACTGTCAGGAGCCAGACCTGAGCAACCCACAGTCAGAAATTTCCCTAAGGCCCTTAAGGGAAAAAACTGGCATCACAAATTGTCTCAATATTATTATTAGTTCTTAGACCTAAAGCAGTGCCCTGCAGAGCCATGTGACAGTTCTGCATTGACCCTGGCAAGTTCTGGCTCCTGTTCTTGGTCAAATTAGCCCCCTTGGGTGTAGGACATGGCAGGGATCTCAACTTTGCAGGCTCGGGGAGCTCTACAGTACTGCAAGTACCGTACAGAACCAAGCCCTCCAGAAGCAAAAGTACTCAGCAGTAAGGTGTGCTCTTTGCGTACTCTGTGTTCTTGCCCACTTCCTGCTGGCTCTCAGGCAGCCACCCATGTGTCCGCTTGGACCATCCAGAATTAATGTCCCAGTCATTCTTAGTCCATTCTCACCTCCCTTACCTCTTTTCCAAGGGCAATCCCTACCATACCTGCTGACCCATCTTTCCTTCCTGCCTCAGGTGTCGGAGAGGTGGCATGATTGTGGATCCTCTGAGATCTGGCTTCCCAAGAGCACGTATTGACCCATCCTCAGGGCTCCCAAACCGGCTTCCTCCAGGAGCTGTGCCCCCAGGAGCTCGCTTCGACCCCTTTGGACCCATTGGCACTAGCCCATCTGGGTAGGTATTCACTCAGCTGTGCTGAGAAGTAGGACCTGATGGCAGCACAGCTCAGTGTTGCAGCAACCAGGTGTCTGACACCAGGTGCAGAGTTGCCACTGCTTTTACCTGCTGCTGCCAAGAGAGTGTAGCCTCCCTCAGGTTCCTGCTCTCTGGAGCCTTCCAAGAGCTCCCCATCCCTCATTGCCTTCCTTCCCCCAGTTCCCCTCTGGGGAGGACTCAGAGAAAGAGAAGGAACTAACACTTACTGTAAATAAGTGTCAGAAACTCAGGCGATGCTGATATCAACAGTTTCGGGTAGATAGTACTTTCCACATTTTATAGGTGCAGAAAAATGCAGGCCCTTAAAGATCAGGGATCTTATCCCAGGTGGGAGAATCAGGATTCAACCCCAAGCTGTCTAGCTCTAGAGTGCAAGCTCTTAAACTCCACGACCACCACATCATTCTGGAAGGCAGGCTCCCTCAGTGCAGGGTCAGGACTACCTGTGTGGACCTGGCCCCTCCATCACGTCAACTCACCAGCCCTTCTTTCCATTCCAGACCTAACCCAGACCATCTCCCCCCACCGGGCTACGATGACATGTACCTGTGAAGGCCTCAAGAATGTAACATCCCAGCCTTCCCTCTGCTCTCCTGGAGCTACCACCGCTTGCCCCATCAGCAACCATGTTCTTGCAGGTTGGGGGCCAGGGACTCTGCCCATGTGTTTGCAAGCTGGCTGGGATTGCCACCCTGCCCTTTATCAGAGTCAGGGCACCTGCAGCTCTCCATCTGGCTGCATTTAGATCCCTAAGAGAAATCAGTGTGTCTCTCTCACCACCAGCTTCTGCCTACCAACTTCTCCCAAAGGAGATTCTGGCAACATATACCCTCAACCCAATGCAGTTCCAGTTGCAGCACTATAAGAACAGAACGCATTTTGGATGTTATTATTAAGAACCAAATGTCAATATAAAATTCATGTTGCCAGTCTACCACTTTTCTTTCTACGTTAATACACAGCTCATCCCAGTTATAAGACTTTAGAGTCTGAGTTTTTGTAGGGCTAAATTAAATGACTCTTGCCTACCCAAGGCCCATTCTTGCCTCTCAGGCACCTTACTTTCATACATTGCTGTTGCTCCTGACATCACTAAGATGGGTCCCAGTCTGATGCATGAATGGAAAGGAGTGACTGGAAATCCCATAGGCTACAAGGATGACTTTCACAAGGGCTGGCAGTTGTGGAAAGACTGTGTCATTCTGATGATTGCAGAATCCTCCAGTCGTTCCTGTTCTGGGTCAGTCCTCTGAGTCCGTCTGTGCCTGAGCAGCAGTGACCTATAAGCAAAGGAATGAACAGACCAAACCTGAAGGCTAATCTCATTTTAGCCACTAACTTACTGAGTGACCCTAAGTAAGTCTATTCACCTCTTAGGGCCTTGTGCCCTCCTGTGAAATTGGAGGTGTCTTCCCTGCTCTAAAACATTCTGATGTCTCTGTGTATGGTAACCCCTAAAAACTGCAGCAAAAGGAAAAGAACGAGGGTTCAGAGCTTTATGTGGTACTTACCTACCGACTCTGTTACTCTGTGTTTCTTGTCCCCCTTGGGGTCCAGACAAGTGCACAGGAGCATGAGCTCCATCTGAGTATGCTGTTGAACTTCAGGAAGAGAAGGGAGCCCCAGCCTCTAGAAGCCTGTGTCTTGTCCAGGCCCGCCTGACCTTCGGTGTTTTCCAGATCCTTTTCAGCCTCAGGCCTGACTGATGTGGGTAGTGGTGAGCACACTTAGATTTTCTAGTAGCAAAGATCAAAAAGATAGTCATATACATAATTCTGTTTTCTGAAAACAGAAAATTTAGTGATTCATCTGTAGAATCAGCCATTTTTTGTGTGGGTCTCTTTGCATCAAGGACATTGAGGAACATAGACAATGTCTCAGATGTTATGTGGGGAAGTGAACGGGGTCCTATAGAAACTTCCTAGTCAAGCTGTTGATGCCTGTTTTGGTCTGAGCCACTTCCTTCCTCCCAGTCGTGAGTAATCATCCAGCAACAAGTAGGAATGTTTCAGGTGTATGTTTTGTGGAACCCCAAAAATTGGAGCCTTAACAATAAACATCAGCACTTAATAACCTGTTCCTCTTTTTTCTAATAACAGCTTTATTGAAATATAATTCACATACCCATAAAGTTCACCCTTTTAAAGTATACAATTCAGGGGGTGGTAGTATATTCACAGTGTTGTGCATCCATCACCATATCTAATCCCTGAACATTTTCACCCCCCCCACCCCCGCAAAAAACCTTATACCCATTAGCAGTCACTCCCCATTTACCCTTCCCTGCCCCAGGCAACCACTAGTCTATCTTCTTTCTCTAAAGATTTGCATTTTCTGCACAGTTTGCATAAATGAAATCACTCAATATGTGGCCTTTTGTGTCTGGCTTCTGTCACTTAATGTTTTCATGATTCATGTTGTAGCATGTATCAGTACTTCATTCCTTATTATGGCTGAAAAATAATCCATTTTATGGATATATCATATTTTGTTTATCCATTTATCAGTTGATGGACAATTGCTTTGTTTCCACTTTGGGGCTATTATGAATAATGCTGCTATTGTGTACAAGTTTTTGTCTGGATAGAAGTTTTTAGTTCATCTGGTATATAGCAATGGGCAAAATTGCTGGATCACATGGTAACTATGTTTAACTTTTTAAGGAACTGTCAGACTGTTTTCCATGGCAGGTGCACCATTTCACATTCCCACCAGTGATGCATGAGGGTTCCAGTTTATCCATATCTTCGACAACACTTGTTACTCTTCATCTTGATTATCCTCGTTAGTGTAAAGTGGTATCTCATTGTGGTTTTGCCCTCTATTTTTTTTTTTAAAAAAGGATAATTTTGACCTAGGCCAAGCAAGGCAGAGACCAGAGCCAGTCATCCTTAGGGAGCTGACCATGTCTTTGATAATAGCCACCTTGGGATGACTGTAGCTGGTGAGCCACAGAGGAGTTGTGTTTGATTTGGGGGGATGTTTCTGGGCTGGATGTGATACAGGACAGGTCCTGTCTCTAAAGAAGTTCCCATGACCTTTTCAGGTCTAGTAAGATTCACAGCATCCCTTTTGTTTGGTTTGAAATTTCACTGATCACCCAGTGATTTTACAAGTAGAGTAGAGGTCTGGTTCTAAATCATTGTCTTTTGGTTCTGAAGTACTGTAGACCATGCATACCATTTCTAGGCTGCATGGCAGTCCCCATGTTCCACGTCTTCCTTGGCGTTTCTCCTCCCCAAATCTTAGAGCTGGCTATGTTCTCATTGCACTGATACACTCAATCATGAGCTTCTTTCAGCCTCCATTGTGAAGTCATGAGTCTCTTAAGACCTTGACTCCAAGAATATACTGTGCTCAAAATGGAGAGTGTATTCCTGTGCTGAATGGTCAGTGCCTGTTGACTTGTAGTTACAAAACGGGTTGCAAGTCCCATACAACCTCAGTCTTTGGAATCTAGCTTCCCTCGTGGCCTTCCTTTCTACTGTCATTAATGACATTCTGTTATTGATCCATGCCTCTCCTCACAAGAGGAAAATTAGAATCTGTGGGGAAGTTCATATTCTCTGTCACCTAATCTTATCTACTTTGGTGCAGCTCCAGTAAGACACGAAGGAAAGATTTTCCACATGCACATCCCCAGTTTCTCTGAAAAATAAAACTTGCTTGCCTGTAAGCTACTATCAACTTTTTGCACCAAAGGAGAGACTCAAACGCAGGCATCCAAGTCCGCAGCCCTTGTTTGCCCTTGGGATACCACAGGGTACACCTCAAGTCACTTCTGCTGTGCTTGACCCTAAATCTGCCCCAGAGAGTAGGTCAGAAGGGCGGCAGGCAGTGATGATGATGGGCAGTTAAGGGTGGCAAGGCCCAGGTGACTGAGAACATAGCCTAGAATGCAAAAAGCAAATGACAGGAGGTTTGAACACCCACGAGTGGCAGTGCCGATGGGAGCTACAAAGTGGAAGGCCCAGTTCCTGCCTAGAGGAACGTGAGGCTGATAGCGAAGACTAACAGAAGACCCTGGATGACCATGTGAATGGCATCTTCCAACGAGCCACATAAGGTGAGTGTTGTGAGAGTCACAGTGTGACAGGGATTGGGAGGGGCCTGATGAAGTGTTAGTCTTGGGGCTCAATTCCAATAAACAGAAACTAATTTAGCTTTTTTTAACCAAAAATGTTAGGGTCCAGAAAGCAGCAGATCACATCATCATTGCCATGATCTGGGGATTAGAAACCCCAGAGCCACACAGACATTGCCTTGATCTGCATCAAAAGGTAGATGCCTTTCATAATGCCACTTCAGCCCCACTCAGCTCACTTCCTAGTTCAAGGCTCAGTTGAATACACCCGATTGTTGGAACCTACATTACCTCTCAAACCATAGTGGCAAGGGATCCTGGAGAAATGTCCTTGTTCCCTTTTTGCACCTCTCCATTCAGGAAGGCACATTGGAAAAGAGGTCTGGTGTGCCAATCTCCTGTGTCTGTGTCTTTGCTGTGGGCCATGATATAGACAGGTACCACAGCCTTGCTTGCCTGAGCCTAATCATCCCCTGAAATGCTTGATCTAAATACACGTCAGGGGCCGGCCCGTGGCTCACTCGGGAGAGTGTGGTGCTGATAACACCAAGGCCGCGGGTTCGGATCCTATATAGGGATGGCCGGTTGGCTCACTGGGTGAGCGTGGTGCTGACAACACCAAGCCAAGGGTTGAGATCCCCTTACTGGTCATCTTTTTAAAAAATAAATAAATAAATAAACAAACAAATAAATAAATACACGTCAGTACATCCTGGGCCCCAATTCAGATCTCTAGAGAAGGGTCTTCAAATCTGTCTTTCATAAGTTCCTCTTACGATTCATATGATCACTGAAGTTTGAGAACTGACTTTCTACATCCTTGCTACTCAGGCCACCCACAGCAGCAGCATCACCTGGGAACTTGTTAGAAATGCAGAATCTCAGGCCCCACCCCAGACTTACTGAATGAGAATCTGTATTTTAACAAGTTCTTCACATGATTCGTGTGCACATTAAAGTTTGAGAAGCTCAAACTTTATGTCTTTTTTTCTTCACCTGGATATCATGTACAAAGAATTAAGTCAATCTTCTTGGTTGATGGCACATTATGATTAGTGCATGCAAGAACCCTCTCATTTTAGGTTTCCTGATTTTACCCCCAGTATCCAGTCCATCCATTTGCCTCCAGTGGGTCACTCAAGTGTGTTTCCTACATGTTTTTAAAAATATACAGGTACCCTTGTAAGATAGCATATATTATATCTTCATATCATAGCAACCATAATAAGATATTATCCCCATTTTCTAGACCAGAAAAAGATTTGGAAAGGCCAGCAATTTGCTCGAGGCCAAGCTGAGGTCTCAGAATCAGGCAATTGTGGGTGTGACTACCAGCGCTCCCTTTGCTAGTATGTAGCCTTTCTCATCTGCAAAATAAGCATCATTCCTACCTGCAGGACTGTTGCAGGGTCCAACCAAATGTCTTATTAACAGGTAGTTGGGGCTCAGTGGGTGCCAGCTGTGAGTATTACTGAGGTCATATGGGTGGATAAGGGTGGGGTTCAAGGATGAGAGGAGAGGAAATGGGCTGCCCCCAGTGCAGGAAAAAAGCATTTATCTGATGCCTACAGTTTGTTAGGCTTCCCAACTCATGGGGTAGTCCTAACAACCCCAAGGTAAACACTTAGCAGCATTAGTTGAGGTGCTGGATGCACCCTCTAGGAGTGGCAGAACCATGATTGGAACCTAGGTCAGCTTGTTTCTAAGGCCCGTTCTCCTTCCAGTAGAACTGCTGTACCCAGACTTCATACCCTCTCCAGGTGAGGAGCATGGGTCCCTGGGCAAAACTTATTCCACAAGCTGGAAAACCAAGTCAGAACTTAAGTGAGAAAGGACTGATTGTGTACAGGATGGTCTAAGACTCCTAAATCAGCCCTGTTTGGAAAGTGTGCCTTATGTTTCCAAGCACTTCCACCTATAGCCACAGTGTCCTGAACATCCAGGTGAGAAGCAGCATCTGAAATCACCCAGCACAACCTCCATTCCACGGGGGAAGAAACAGGCCCAAGAGGCTGCTTTGTGAAGGTGAGCTCCTGAGAGACTTCTCTGGGCCACAGAGATGGGCTTGGGCTCTGTGCAGGGTTCTGTCACCTGGCCCCAAGTGCTGCTCACTTCGGCCTTCTGAGTTTAGCAGGATGGGAGCTACTCTTCCCCATTGAACAGGTGAAAAAGCAAGTCCAGGGTCATTGAATGAGTGACTTTCCAAAGGCCAAGCAGGCCACAAAAATCCTGGCTCCAACTCCAAGATGTAGCCACTGAACACTGTCCCAAAATAGTCATAAAGATCCCTGAGTGACAAAAATATGAGTGTCCCCTTGCCTTCCACCTCCCTCTCCCCTCAGCTAGGCTGAATGTTAAGAGGAAGATGCCAGGGGCTGGCCAGTTAGCCAAGTTGGTTAGACTGCCGCCTTGTAACACCAAGGTCAAGGGTTCAGATCCCCATACCAGCCAGCTGCAAAAAAAAAAAAAGAGGAAGACACCATACAGGTTCAGCACCCTGGTTAGTGCCCACACTTCCTGAAGCAGCTGGAGATGGGATTTGGGCCAGATTAGGCCAAACAGTGTCTGCTGCTCTCCAGTCCAGGATACCCACTCCTGGGGACACGCAGGCATCCCCGGGAGGAGGGGAACCCAGGCCTAGGTCTCCAATACAAACTTGCCCTCTCTCCATCTTTTTTTTTTTTTTTTCGGGGGGGGGGGGGGGGGGGGG